GTATAATACTTGTAATGGTCACTGTCTGATTCTCTTGAAACGAATCACTTTCAGTGATGATGTCATCCCGGGTTGTGTCTTCCGCAGGTTTGGCCTAGAGGAGTGCGCTGCATATTGGCAGCAGGTGGTGGACATGAACGACTATCAGAAGATAGCCTTCACTAGTAGCAGGGCAGTGATGACTAGCAACGGGAAAAACATATTTTTGGTGCCCAAAGTATAGTTATGGGGAACCAATAATTAAAGAGAGTGGAACGCCACCAGGTCCCCAAAAATACGTGGTTTTAAGCGTTTTTTTTTGACTATTTTATGTTTCTTTTTCCTCTTTTGATCATATATGAAAGATCAAAGTTCTTGGGAGATGCGCGGTTTTTGGTTTGTTAATCCTTAGCTCTATTCTTGGTGCTTACTTTTTGTAGCTCTATTGTCTTTTTGATAGGTGGTCTTAATGCATGAATGACAAAGTTCTTTGCCCAACGACATCTTGAAACATAGAGATTCATTGTGCCAGTTGGTACTTCATGTATATATTAATGTATAGGTACTACCTAGGTATACAGCTATTGCAAAGACAGTAAATATATATATATACATATACATAGCACTTTGTATTTGCATTGGTGGTTTTTGATATTGGATTGCCAGGTCGCCTTTTGGTTGACATCATAGTTCCAGTGGAACTCTTTTAGTACATGAAAGTGCAAATTCCAATCTGCTCTCCCTCCTCAAGTAGTTGCATCTTTTTTGGCATACTTCATGGTAACTTGCTGCATCATTGCACAAGCAAGGCAGCCATTCTGTAGATACAGTTGTTTGGTAAGGTTGCTTAAGTGTTTCCTTTACTTGGTCTTGTGCCCTTCTGGTTACCATGATGAAGTTATGCTGACATAGTTTAAGTTTTGCCCACATCCATGAATACATTTATGGTAATAAAATGTCTGCCATTATATTTGCAGTGACACAGCAAATTACCATGGAATATGCAGGTAAAAACGTCTTTTCTGAAGCAAGGGGGAAAGGGAAGTGCCCCTGGAATTTGCCAACTCTTGTGATCAATCGATATTTTAAGCAAAGATCTTTTACTGCATTGAAACCTGGAAGAATACCATTGCATATGCAGGAAAAATGTAGGACACTTGTGTCTTTAAGGGCATAGGTGACTTACATGCCACCCACTCCATAACTGTATGTACTATATAAGAAAAATGTATATATAAAATAGTTGCATTCTAAGTGCCAATGCAGCTTGGATGTGTTGACACAGCAAATGGCTATGGTATCTGCAAAAAAAATATTGCTTTTATCACAATACCCTCTAGATATCAGTGTATGTTCGAAGCTGCCATTTCTACTGTATATGTACTGATACTGCACACTTATGACAATGCGCTTGCATACTGGTTGAAACCATTCACCCACTAAAGCACAAACAACCCCTGAAACTTTTCATACAGTTTATAGATCAAAGAATTAAGAACAAGAGTGAGTATTGGTCAAAAGGATGGAGAAGGGACCCCTTTCCATATGAATGCGTTCTGGGAGCTGCTACTTCCTAGTCCAATGTGTTGTGTTATAGATGTTTTCTGTCAAGTTTTATAAACAGTCTTACCTCTTTTTAGGTGTTACTCATCCTGTCATAAAAGATTATAAAAGCACAGCCCAGCAATTATGGTAACAGGGTACCTGGATTAGATATGCAGTGGCATAGCAAATTACTGTGAAATATGCAGGAAAACACATATTTTTGCAGAAAGGGTAAGTTGGAGCTGCCCTTACCATGTGCCAACTCTTACGAGCAAAGTCAGTTGCAACCAAAGAGTCTTTATTGCAGTCAGTCCTGGAAGAATTCCTTTACATACGCAAAGTACATGTGGAAGATGTATGTACGTATTGCTATGCACTACTTATGTAGCATCCATATCATAGATGCATACAGTAGTACTACTACAAGGAAAATGCAAGTCCATCAATGTATATAGGAAGGCTATATATAGAAGGGCTAGGAGATGGGGGAAGCTCATAAAAAAAAGCTCCCTTTCCTTGGCCACCTCTCCCCTAAGGTATACACACACTATGTTTGTTTTCCCTCCTTCCTTTTCCCAGGGGATCTTCATGACTCTCTGGACATTCTTTGGTAACCTTTGGCAACCTGCCATCAGGGAGAGGCTATGTACATAGGAGGGCTATGAGAGGGGATAAGCCAATTTTTTTCCCGTTTTTTCCTTGGCCACCTCTCCCCCTAAGGGAAGCCATATATATATAATATACACACACACTATGTTTGTTTTTTCTCCTTCCTTTTCCCTGAGAATCTTCATGACTCTCTGGACATTCTTTGGCAACCTCCGAGGAAGTCTGACAATCTGTGTGGATCTCTAGCAATACCATCACAGGTATATGAACATAAAGGATTGAACATGAAGTAGCAAAAACACTGCATTTCCAGAAACGTGGAAAAATGGGGACCTGACAGCGTACCTTTCTGTAATTAAACCACATGATTGGCAATTCTTAAAAAACATGATAATTTTAGTAACCCTTCCATTTGTTTGGGTATTGAGATATCTTGAACCATTTCCTTGAACCCTTTCCATGTAGGGACGGAAAATCATGTAGAGGAGTGCAGCTCTTGTCAATGCTTAGAATGAGTTAATATAATGCAGTCACTTTTTTTTTTGACCTTCCTCTTTGGACCAGTGGAGTTTTTATCCTCTTTTCAGAGTCGACAAATTCCATAACTCTGGATTAAATTAATGAGTTGGAACCAGATGAGAATTCCGTAGCATGTCGATACCATTCAATATGTAGGTTGCAATCATACTATAAATGCAGATTCACACTCGATTCGAGTTCCTATTTGAAGAAACCTCATGTCTGGTTTCCAACCTCTGCCTACATCCAATCCACCTTAGTTATTCATTCCAGGCAAGATCATCCAGTCTCTCTTCAACACAGTGACCAAGAAGAAAATCGCCGTTCTTGGCTTCGCCTTTAAAAAGGACACAGGTGACGTGCGCGAGACTCCGGCCTTGATGGTCTGTGATATGCTGATGAAGGATGGCGCCATTGTGCATGTCTATGACCCCAAGGTGGTCATAGAAGATGCCTTGACAGAGTTCAAGTATCATGACCTGGAAGTCAATAAGAAACTTGGATTACTTGGATTTGGATGGCAACATCTTACACCATGATACACCATGCTACATCATGATACACCTGTAGCATCCTGTAACATGTAGCATGTTCTCATGAAGGAATTGATGGGTCTGACAATGAGCTGGAAAATTCAGCAGATCGCAGGATGCATCAACTTTCGGGTGTAGAGTCGTGGAGTCACACTGGCTCTTGGGGGTTCTTACTCTCCTTCCAACAATCCTGTCACACTCTCCGCCTGAAATGAGAGGAGGGAGAGATATCATCTTCATAAATCTTCTGGTATTTTTCAAGATTCTGAAGATCAACTAAGTACATCTAAGTACGATTTCAATGCAGCCACAACCAGAGCGGTGTGTGGAAGGATGCAACGGATGAATCTAGAACAGCTTAAGAGATCACCTGATCAGACGTGCTTGGTCCGCAGCAAGTCTCCAGAAGCTTGCAGAGAGATGGCATGGAATATTTGTTTTCTGGCTTCGGTTATCCCGACAGAGGGAACGAAGATACAAATCTGATATAATCTGATGAAATCTGACTATCACATCTATCACGCTTGTGCACTAAGCGGATGTTGTACACCCATGATACGCTAAGGAATCAACTTATCTTCTCCAAGAGTCCACAGGAGGCTTGTGATGGTGCGCATGCTATCGTCGTCGTGACAGAATGGGACGAATTCAAGACCTATGACTACAAGACCCTCGATTATTGAGGGGACTCCCATGCCACCCAGAGAAAGTTCTGTTGCGATGTTGGCTTCCCGTTTTAAATGTTTTAATAGCCGGGAATGGATGTTTATATGTCGCACAGCGTTCTGATTTGAACTTGGGAAGTGAAGTGAGCATTTCGGCATCTGATTCGGAGAGGAGTCAGCCTGCCAAGCCAAGCTAGTCTTAGTCCAGGGTGATGCTGGAGTTTTACAAATACTGTATGCTTGAGGGAATCTGCTGCGACAACTTTGTTGAGTGATTGCTCTCCTTGGGTCCTTGGGTCCTTGGGAGTAAGTAGAGTCAGGGGCTAGCAGACCACCCAGAAACACATGTCCTTCTTCGCAGAACCAGAATTGGTCGAGGCTATAAGCGTTGTTTTATCCTCTACGACGCTACGATGAAAGCCCATATAAACTGTGTTGGGATCTTGTTGGCTATTTCCAATCTGTCCGCTTTGTACCATAGATTTGGTTTTAAAGTGTGTTAAATATCACAATAGATATACTCATACTCCAGATTGGTCAGCATTTGAGGAGCTTATACGACAAGATGATGAAGCCAGCATTCCTCTTTGATGGCCGCAACATGTTGGATCATGCAGCCCTGGTGGACATCGGATTTGAAGTGCACGCGCTCGGCAAGGGACAGATCAAAAGTTCCGGAGGTCAGTCACAGATCCCAGACTTTGTGACCAGAGCTGGAAGTGGTCTCCTGTCTGGTGGCTATTCTCCATAGCCATGGATGACATGGTGCTTGACCTGTCCAAGTTGTGGAGTTGCTTGTACAGTAATCCCCGTCTCATGCAGAGACTTCCCCAACAATCGATTTGATCAGTGTTCCCCGTTGCATCGTTTGCGATGGGCGCAATAGATGGCCATTTGTGGCCACAAAGACATTTCACCCTTATGTCCATCCAAAGATGAACCGATGGGTGAGAAAATCTTTGCTCAGTTTCTTGAGCTTGATGTGGCCCTAATCGCAGGTGGCACCAAATATGCGGCATGCCTTCAGGGTGAATCAACCACAACCACTCACCTTGCGGACATGACCTGCTGCGGGCCACTAGCGTTCTCTTTGCACAGCTGGCATTTTGGCTTGATAAGGCTCGTAGATTCGTTGAAGCGGCCATCAGCCATGGCGGAGCATGCAAAGCTAGGAGTGCGACTGAACAGGATGGGTTGCGTGGATGGGAGGAAAATCCTGGAAAATCCATGCGCATCCGACAACAATCCAAGATATTGGAAGAAGACTTTGTGCGATTTGTGTGCATCCCAGGTTGCCCTGGATTTGTTTCATGGACCGGTGATTTTTTTGTTGGACAACTTGTTTTGTGTTTGAAGAGTCCAAGCAAGAGGACAAGGTGGCAAATAGATCGGCCACAGCGGTGAGGATCCCAGGTTTTGACCGGTAAATTCTAAGAGATATTCATAACACGTGGCAAAACATGATAAACTGACAGTGGTTCATCAAGAACACACGCTTCTGCAGGTCTTATCAAATCATTCTCTTAAGAAATGCTGTGTCCCACTTTCAGGTCAACTCGAGGTAAGCATTCCAAGAGAAGGTATTCGTGCATGATGCCACGCCAAATAACGTCACATTCTGAATATGGCAACGCCGAACTCTCCACACGTTGCTATCTAGCTCTACGATGCTCTATATACGCATCTCTACGTATATCGAGCAGGTCTTTCTTGATGCTTGAAAATTTGTGACCCCTCAGCTGGAAGATTATTATCCAGTTTCCCCTTACACCCTAAACTGTTAAAGGCATGGGAGGTCAAGGATAAGATAGAAATCTAGATCGCAAATGAAAGAACAAACATCCTTTTAGTCTTTGCAAAACCAGTCAGTGCCAGGATTTGCTGCATTGGCGCTGGCTATGTGGGTGGACCCACCATGGCAACCATTGCTTTGAAGTGCCCTCAACTGGAGGCCACTTGGGATGACATGGGATGACCGTCAGGGAGCGAAGAGGAAACAGTTGCCAGAGGATACGAATAATATCGAACCATATTGCCATACCTTTTGGATCCTTTTGGTCTGTGTCTGCTGTCTGCAAGAAGCTGTTTGTTGGCTTTCTGTAGTTGGCAGAATTTCAGTTGACCGGTGCTACAAACCTCAGATAACCCTAGCAAATTATCGACACATCCTACTAGTAGCACAGGCAGCAAGCTAATATCTCATTCTATGATGTCTATGCATGCCAGCCTCTTCTTCCTGGAAGGTAGTGATTGTGGACATGAACGAAGATCGCATCAAGCGCTGGAACAGTGACTCGAAGCTTTTCAATCCTTGACTTTTCAACATTTCTTCGCGCTTTCGCTCGAAGCATGGGAAGGATGACTCCACGTGATTTGCATGTTTGATGGATGGGAAGCACCAATCCAGTTTTCATTTTCAACTTTGGAGAGTTGATTGAGTCCAGAAAGGTGCAGTGGGGCTTTATTCTTAACGGACCTGCTTCTTTGTTTGGAAAAAGTCCATCAGAAACATTATCGCGACCTGAATCCAAAAAAAATACGAGGACCGTGGCCATGATGTCAGCCTCTAATTTACATTAATTTACTATATATCATTTGGGTCTGTGAATGTCACATATCGTTTCACATCGAAAGTCCTTCAAAACAGTGACTAAATCCGGGCACTAAGGCGATGAACTGCCGATCTATGAACCTGGTCTGACGGAAGTGGTGAAGGCTCTTGTGGCGGATGGAAAACAGGAAACAACATATTGGGCCATGGGGAAGGGTCATAGGACATGATTTTCCACGATGTTTTTTTGGGATGAACATTTGTAACAACAATTATTTTGATGTGAACTACAGGGATATATTGCGATTCAGAAACTTTCGCCGATTCAGAAACTCCGATTCAGAAACTCCGATTCAGAAACTCCAAGGATTCAAGAAACTCCTGGTTGCCCCGATTCAGAAACTCCAGGTTGCCCCGATTCAGAAACTCCAGGTTGACCCGATTCAGAAACTCCAGGTTGCCCCGATTCAGAAACTCCGCGTTGCCCCGATTCAGAAACTCCAGGTTGCCCCGATTCAGAAACTCCAGGTTGCCCCGATTCAGCCCCGATTTCCAGATTCAGAAACTCCAGGTTGCCCCGATTCAGATTCAGAAACTCCAGGTTGCCCCGATTCAGAAACTCCAGGTTGCCCCGATTCAGAAACTCCAGGTTGCCCCGATTCAGAAACTCCAGGTTGCCCCGATTCAGCAACTGCAGGTACGCCCCGATTCAGCAACTCCACGTTGCCCCGATTCAGAAACTCCAGGTTGCCCCGATTCAGAAACTCCAGGTTGCCCCGATTCAGAAACTCCAGGTTGCCCCGATTCAGAAACTCCAGGTTGACCCGATTCAGAAACTCCAGGTTGCCCCGATTCAGAAACTCCGCGTTGCCCCGATTCAGAAACTCCAGGTTGCCCCGATTCAGAAACTCCAGGTTGCCCCGATTCAGAAACTCCAGGTTGCCCCGATTCAGAAACTCCAGGTTGCCCCGATTCAGAAACTCCGCGTTGCCCCGATTCAGAAACTCCAGGTTGCCCCGATTCAGAAACTCCAGCGTGTCCTCAATGCAAATCCTTCCCTTTCAAAGAGTTCTTGTCACGATTGCAAGTCCTTTCTTAAACTTCCCCCCCCAAAGCCCTACATGCAATGGTATTCCTGAATGCACATCCTTCCCTTTCATAGCGTTCTTGTCACGATTGCAAGTCATTTTCTAAACTTCCCCCCCCAAAACCCTACATGCAATAGTAGTCCTGAATGCACATCCTTCCCTTTCATAGCGTTCTTGTCACGATTGCAAGTCATTTTCTAAACTTCCTCCCCCCCAAAGCCCTACATGCAATGGTATTCCTCAATGCACACCCTTCCCTTTCATAGAGTTCTTGTCACGATTGCAAGTCATTTTCTAAACTCCCCCCCCTAAAGCCCTACATGCAATGATATTCCTGAATGCACACCCTTCCCTTTCATAGAGTTCTTGTCACGATTGCAAATCATTTTCTAAACTTCCCCCCCAAAACCCTACATGCAATAGTAGTCCTCAATGCAAATCCTTGCCTTTCAAAGAGTTCTTGTCACGTTTAAAAGTCATTTCTTAAACTTCCCCCCAAAGCCCTCCATGCAATAGTAATCATCAATGCAAATCCCTCCCTTTCATAGAGTTCTTGTCACGATTGCAAGTCATTTTCTAAAACTTCCCCCCCCAAAACCCTACATGCAATAGTAGTCCTCAATGCAAATCCTTCCCTTTCATAGAGTTCTTGTCACGATTGCAAGTCATTTTCTAAACTTCCCCCCCCAAAACCCTACATGCAATAGTAGTCCTCAATGCAAATCCTTCCCTTTCAAAGAGTTCTTGTCACGATTGCAAGTCCTTTCTTAAACTTCCCCCCCAAAGCCCTACATGCAATAGTATTCCTGAATGCACACCCTTCCCTTTCATAGAGTTTTTGTCACGGTTGCAAGTCATTTTCTAAACTTCCCCCCCAAACCCTACATGCAATGGTATTCCTGAATGCACACCCTTCCCTTTCATAGAGTTTTTGTCACGGTTGCAAGTCATTTTCTAAACTTCCCAACCCAAAACCCTACATGCAATGATATTCCTGAATGCAAATCCTTCCCTTTCATAGAGTTCTTGTCACGGTGGCAAGTCATTTTCTAAACTTCCCCCCCCAAGACCCTACATGCAATAGTAGTCCTCAATGCAAATCCTTTCCTTTCAAAGAGTTCTTGTCACGTTTGCAAGTCATTTCTTAAACTTCCTCCCCCCAAAAACATCCATGCAATGGTATTCCTGAATGCACACCCTTCCCTTCCATAGAGTTCTTGTCACGATTGCAAGTCATTTTCTAAACTTCCCCCCCCAAAACCCTACATGCAATAGTAGTCCTCAATGCAAATCCTTCCCTTTCAAAGAGTTCTTGTCACGATTGCAAGTCATTTTCTAAAACTTCCCCCCCCAAAACCCTACATGCAATAGTAGTCCTCGATGCAAATCCTTCCCTTTCAAAAAGTTTTTGTCGCGATTGCAAGTCCTTTCTTAAACTTCCCGCCCCAAAGCCTGACATGCAATAGTAGTCCTCAATGCACATCCTTGCCTTTCAAAGAGTTTTTGTCACGATTGCCAGTCCTTTCTTAAACTTCCCCCCCCAAAGCCCTACATGCAATAGTATTCCTGAATGCACACCTTTCCCTTTCATAGAGTTTTTGTCACGATTGCAAGTCATTTTCTAAACTTCCCCCCCCAAAACCCTACATGCAATAGTAGTCCTTAATGCACATCCTTCCCTTTCATGAATTTCTTGTCACGGTGGCAAGTCATTTTCTAAACTTCCCCCCCCAAAACCCTACATGCAATAGTAGTCCTCAATGCAAATCCTTGCCTTTCAAAGAGTTCTTGTCACGATTGCAAGTCATTTTCCAAACTTCCCCTCCCAAAACCCTACATGCAATAGTAGTCCTCAATGCAAATCCTTCCCTTTCATAGAGTTCTTGTCACGATTGCAAGTCATTTTCTAAAACTTCCCCCCCCAAAACCCTACATGCAATAGTAGTCCTCAATGCAAATCCTTCCCTTTCAAAGAGTTCTTGTCACGATTGCAAGTCATTTTCTAATCTTCCCGCCCCAAAGCCCTACATGCAATAGTAGTCCTGAATGCACATCCTTCCCTTTCATAGCGTTCTTGTCACCATTGCAAGTCATTTTCTAAACTTCCCCCCCAAAGCCCTACATGCAATGGTATTCCTGAATGCACACCTTTCCCTTTCATAGAGAGTTTTTGTCACAATTGCAAGTCATTTTCTAAACTTCCCCCCCCAAAGCCCTACATGCAATGGTATTCCTCAATGCACACCCTTCCCTTTCATAGAGTTCTTGTCACG